AGGGGTGGCTGAAAGTTATGGGTCCACAAAACAGCACCCCATACTCTCACTCTTAATCATGCCCACTCCCCCTAGAGTCCACAGACCCCCGGAGACTGCCCAGGGGCCTACCAGGGAGACAGCTCCTTTTCTAAAGAAAGAATGGATGGGGCTAGAGCTTCCCTCCCAGGTCAGCTGCAGAGCCCCATCACTGGCTGTCCTCCCCCATCAGAAGAGAGCAGCCTCTTGGATCATTATCCCTGACTTCCTCAGCAGGCCAGGGGGGTTTCACTCCAGCCCAGTCCTAACTCTGCTAGGAAAGAGAAGGGAACCACCACGTAAATACATCCAGGAGGCAGGCCAGGAAGCCTGCAGGATTGGGGAATCTAGGCACTTTCTTGCCACTGCCCCCTATCCATTTCTGGCCAGACTGGGCTAGGAGACAGGGAGGAGCCCGGACCCAGGATAGCTCAATGCCAAGCTCACTTTCCCAAGCAGGCCTTACCGGGGAACACTAAAAGCAGGATCCAGCCGAGCTGTTCCCAGCCACCAGCAGGCCTGGGGATGCCGCCCGGGAAGACACCCGGGTGTGGACTGGCCCTGAACACCAGGCCTCACAAGGAGCCCCAGCCTTAAGAACCCGAGGCAGGGAGTCCTGGGAGTAGCCACCGCTCATCTGCTCCTGAGGAGACGGTATCCAGGCCCCACTGGCGCATATGCCCGGCCCTCTGCTCCTTGCCCTCCACCACCCCGGCGGGCGTGCCGACCACGAGAGCAGCAGGTGCAAGACGCGGGGGTGGCACTGAGATGACACAAAACCACACTCGCCCCCACCTCCCAAGCCCTGCCGGCCTCCGCCACGGCCCTCATGCCACCCCAGGCTGGCGCTTCCGTCGGATATAGAGATGGAGGTGGAGGGGCAGCCAGCTGCCCGCCTCCCTCAGACCGAGGGGTGGGAGGCGGCGCCGGGAACGTCCTTCCTCGCTCGTCCACGGCCTCCAGGGAGCAGGCGCCCCCCAGGCCGGCCCTCCAGCCGAGGACGCGGCTCCGCAGTGGCCCGGGCGGGGGCCGAGCCTGGAGGCCGAGGCCCCCCGCCCCGCCCCGCCCTCTGGCCCCGCACGGCGCTCCCGCCAGGCCCCGGCGCCCGTCCGGCGACGGCCTGGCTGTGCGGTCCCGCCCCCGGCCCGGCCGCGCTTACCGGGGGCGCTGCAGTCCGCACACACCTCCGTTCGCGGCCCCTTCCGGGACATCCTCAGCGGCGACGCGGCCGCAGCCCTCTGGGCCAGCGTGGGGGGCGCGGGCGGCGGGCCCGGGCGGCGGCGGCGGCCCCTGCTGCCCGGCCCGGCTCCGGCGAGGCCCCGGCGAGGCTCCGCGCGCCCGGCCAACCGTCCGCCCCGGGGCTGGCCCGGAACCCGCCGTGCCCGCCTGCCCGCTCGCCCTCGGGCGCCCTCCGCCCCGCGCCGCCCCGCACCGCCCCGCACCGCCCCGCCGCCGCTCGCCGCTCCTCTCTCCGCCCCCTGCGCGGCTCCTGGCCGCTCCTGCAGGAAGCGGCGCAGGCCCAGCCCACCGGGGGAGGGGCTGCACCCCCGCCCCACCGCGCCGCGCGCTGCCGGCCGCGCCCCCCGGAGAAAGGAAGCCCGGGCGCGGGCGGGAGGGGGCGGGGGCGCTTAAAGGGGCCGCGGCCGTCGACGGGTCCGGGCAGGCAGCGTGGCCTGAGGCCTCGGCCTCGGCTGCAGAGCTCGCCTGGCCTGGAGGCAGTGTGAGTCACCCTCACAGCCCCCTCCCCTTCACTTTCGGTGTCGGGTGGCCGGGGGGACGCTGGGCCCAGGGACAGCGAGGGCGGGGATTAGGGAAGAGAGGAAGGACTTGGAGGCCCAAGTCCCGCTCCACGTCAAAGGGGCTGTGCCTTGGGTACCCGTCTATCTCTGGTTGGGGTGAGGTGTACGTCCCGGTCCTGTAGTGTCCACATCTGTGTGTCCAGGTGTGTGTGTGTGTGTGGTGTCACACTCTTGCTGAATACGCCCACACAATATGGACGCCCAGGTGCCAGAAAGGTCAGGCAGTGTATTCCTGCCTTCGGACTAAAAATACATCCATCTCTCCATGCATGCTTCCAGCCAGAGAGGAGAGAATCTGGGCGGTTTTAAAGACCTCCCGAGGAGTGACCACTGTGCCTATGTGCACTCATATCCACTTGTCATCCGCCCTATACACACCCACGGTGTTTCTGGGCCACCAGAGGTGTGTGTGTCCAGAAAGGGTTCATATAACATAGAGGGGCCGTTTCAGGTGACGGCTTTTCTTCTGGACTTCACACGAAGAGACAGGCAAAGGCGAGGCAGGTGAGGAACGTGGGTGGCCTGGGGGGCAGGGAGCCTAGGTGCAGGCCGCACGTGGGCGCAGCCCCCGCACTGAGCATGCTCCCACGTACACGTGTGCCGCGCGTGCACCCAACCCCCAATCCCTGCAGCAGCAAAAGGCGGGGCATTCCTCTGCTTGTGGGGAGAGGGCAGGGGACCCCAGGGCCAGACCTGGGGGCCAGATCAGTGGTGACAATTGAGGAGGAGTTCTCCAAAAGTCAGAGTCTCCTGCTCGGTAAGAAGAAGGGGGCAGTCCTTGGGCAGGGGTGCTCAAGTTGGTAGATTTATCCCAGCGGTGCCAGAGCAGCAGTGACTTGTGGGTGGGCAGGCTCCTTCCCTAGGGGAGACAAGTAATGCTCATGAGTCACACCACCCGAAATACATGCAAAGCTGCCTCCATCGCCTTTTGCTGCGGCCCAGATTGACAAGTTTGTTTGAAATCGCGATCTTTGGGCTTTATTTATAATTGCACCTTAAAAAAATCTTGCAGGCCTCCCCTCCCCCAACAGCCAGCCGCTCAGCCGGTGGGGCTTTTGCAAGCAACGATACCTAACGGGTATGTAGGGGGGAGCACCACGTGCCGCCCCGAGCTGCTCCCTCAGCAAGGAGACTATGGTCTTGGTGGCCCCAGCGGGAAGTGGGTACGGGAAGGGGAAGACTGGAGGAGTGGCCAGGCAACCGGTGCCGGGTGCTCAGTCCACGAGCGGTGGCCGCTCGCTTGTTCACCCTCGATCGACCCCCAGCTATGGAATTTCATTTCTTAAATGTCGAGGAGGCTGCTGGCAGCCCTGCCGCTTGGTTGTCTTTGTTTCTCCGCTGTGTGGGCGCGTCTCGAGCACGTGGCAGCTGAGCGCGCGGTTCCGAGCGCAGGCGACCTGGGTTCAGTGTCTACCACCGCCTGGCAAAAAAAAAAAAAAAAAAGGACCCGGCCGCCCAGGGGTCAGCTCCCCACAATCCAGGCTGAACTTCCGCTGTCCTGGGACTCCTGGGCTTTGCTGGGGAAGAAGGATGATTCACTCCGCTTCCCCCCAACACTCCCCATCCCCGGGTTGGTTAGGAGACTATCTGGGAGTGGCCCTGATGCGGACACATGGTCCAAACTTTGTTTCCGACCCTCCAGCCCCGCCACAGCCAAACTTCTGGGCCTGGGACTGGAGATAAAAGGGTTTCTGGATTCCCCCGTGGAGATGTCACCACCCCAGGAAGCAGGACTGCTACAGTGGAATCACACACAATTTCAAAAAACAATTTAATAAGGAAATGCACAGGCATGCTCCCGGCCTCTCCTAGATGCCCCTCCCCACGTCAGCCCCTTCCCCAGGGCCGGCGGCAGCCGCGACACTCTGCTGACCCCTGGTGGTGCAGGCGGGCAGCGGTCCCGGGCCACGGGAGACGCCAGCTGGCTCCTCCTAGGCGGGAGAAAGGGGCGAGGCAGCCCGCTCCTCCCTCATCTCTTCCCGCCAGGGCCTGGCACCGCAGGGTGTGGAGGAGGAGAGAAGACCACACAAAAAACCTGAGAGAGTTTGCAAGCTTTTGCTGGCACCTCCCACACAAACACTTCTTGGTTTGTTGTTTTAAGTAGGGCCGGTGTGGAATCCCTTATTCCTGCCTTGTTCTGAGGTGGACTCAAGAAGGCACCGTGCCTGGTCCTGCCAACAGTCCCGGCCCGCCTGGCTGGGGGAGGGAGGCGCTGTTTCCAGGGCAGTCATTATCCTTAGCTCACCCCAGGAGGTAGTATCTAGAGTCTCATTTTGAAGGGGAGTGGACCGAGACAGTCGGAAAAATTCAGCAGTTTGCTTAATGTCAGGCAGTTGGAGAAATTCGAACTCAGGTCTCCCTGACATCACAGTCCCCTCTCCAGGGATTGGTCCAAGCCTCTTGGTCCTTCTAGGTCTTGCAATTGGCGCCTAAGAGGCCAATTCAACTTTTACCCTCTGCAGGGATCGTTCTGGAAGTACCTCTTTGCTCTGGGGTCATTCCGGAAGGAGGTCTCTGGAATCAGTCACTTCCCTTCTTGAGGGGACCAGCTGGGTGGAGGAGCGGAGCCACCACCTGCTGCCTTCTCCATCCGACCTCACTCTGGTTCTTGCTGGGGACAGTGTGTGTGTGTGGGGGGAGGGACCCTCTTTCCCGCTTTACTGGACATTCTGTTTCCAATGGCATGTGTGGAAGATGGAGTTTAATTTACTAAAAGGGCAGGGAAGACTCCTCACAAATGTTCCAGGTGCCAGACCCCTGGTTGTGCTAATGGCCCTTCGTAGTGGTGCCCCACACTTTTCTCAGGAGTTCCCTATCAGTCACTCTCTTCTGGGAATCCGGATCTTTCTTCACGGCCCCTGGGACCCAAGCTCAATTCTGAAGGCTACACCTCCACCCTGTCTCCCAAAGGCTTGACCTAGGCCAGTGCCCCTCTTTCCCCCACAAAAGGCAAAATGCCAGAGGGGGAGGTGCGCCCCAGCTCACCTGGCGTCAGGGCCCCGATCGCGTCTCGGCTAGGCCTGACTCCCTGCCCACTCTCCCACGGGATCCGGGAACAGTGCGGACCCTCTCCGGCCACCTGCCACCCCCAGTTCCACGAGGCGGACTACAAGCCCCATGATGCCGCGGGGCCGAGCTGACAAGCTCTACCCGGGGCGCCCGGTCCTTTTCCTCTCTCCCCCGCATCCCTCGCCGGCCGCTCGGGCTGAGGGCCGGGCTATGCGGCTGCGGGGAGCCGGGGGCTGGGGGCGCGCGTCCCTGAGGCGAAGTCCCCGGGGCCCGCGCGCGGTGCGCCCCCGCGCCCGCTTCGGGCTCCTGCTCCCTCCGCTGAGCGGCGTCTTTGTGTGCGGGGGTGTGGGAGGCGAGCGCGAGTCCGCGCCGCGCCGCCGAGTGCCCGCTCCCTCCCAGGACGGGTGGGGGCCTCTCCGCGCTACCCGCTGCCGCCGCCGCCGCCGCCGCCGCCTCGCGAGGACGCCAGTCGCCCGCGCCGCCCGCACCGCGCGGGGCGCGCCGCCCCCGCCCGCCGCCGCCGCCGCCGCCGCCGCCGCTCGCACATGCCCGAGCCGCAGCCCCGCGAGCAGGCAGCGCCGGCCCCCAGCCCCGCGGCCCCGGGCCCAGGCTCCGGCGCCGTCCCTCCTCCCCAGCCGGGCGCCGCGGCCCCGGCATGAGGAGCGGGCGATGATCCCCGCCAACGCCTCCGCCAGGAAGGGGCCCGAGGGCAAGTACCCGCTGCACTACCTCGTGTGGCACAACCGCCACCGCGAGCTGGAGAAGGAGGTCCGCGCTGGCCAGGTAGGAGAGCCGTCGGGGCGCCGTGGAGACCCCACGGCCGGGCACGCCCGTCCGGCCTGGGGAGGGGGCGCGGCGCGGGCTGTCCCGCCTCCCCGGCGAGTTTGCGGCGCGTCTTTGTTTGCAGCCGCGGCTTTTGTGCTTGTTGACCGGGAAAGGGTGATGGGGGCGGCCCCTGCCCGCTCCCCTCCGGCCAGGACGGGCGGGCCACAAGTGTTTCGGACCCTGCTGGATGGGGGTAGAGGCCCCCGTGCCCCTCCTCCGCCGGGGCAGTGAGGGCTGCAGGGAGGGGCTGCGGGCTGGATCCGTGTTCCATGTGGTGGGAGAGTCCGCCCCAGCCAGTGGAGCGGCGACACCTCCCGCGGGAGGGTGCGGAGGTGGGAAAGGCTTGCATGGGGAGGGGGCCATAGGTCAGGGATCGGGAAGAGGCTGTGTCACACTCCCAGGCACCCCAGCCCCACCCAGCGCCCTCTCCCCTTCGGGGAGCGCTTTCTCTTTTCGCTCGCAGACTGGGCATATCCTTGGATCCCTCAGACCCCAGCCCCAGCTCAGAAATGGGGAGTGGAGAAAGACCATTTTGGGAGGCCCCAAGAGCCTTGTCCAGGTGCTGAAAAGCGCTCTCCTGCCCTCTGGTGCTGGGGCCTGGCTTCTAGGCGCAAAGGAAACTGGGGGGCCCTGGCTGCTGGAAGGACTTGAGGTTCTGCACAGGGATGGGCTCCCTGGTTTCTGCTGGTCAGTAAGGCCACGTGGGTCGCCAGCTTTGAGCTGGGCAGTGGTCTCCAAGAAAACGGGAAGGGAGGGTGTCTTCTGGCCATGCTTCAGGACAAAGGCAGGCACAGGTTACAGATTCTGCCAATTCTGCCCTTGACATCCAGGCCACAGGTAGGCACTCATGACAGAGATGACCCCCCCCCCAACCCGGGGTGGGCAGCAGGAGCCAGAGCTGGGCCTGGGCCCCCTTGGTTGCTGCAGGTTGAGAACCCCAGAGTAGGGTCTGAGACCTTGGGGCCGTGGGCTGGGAGTGATTGGCCCAAGAGTTGCGGCTGTGGGGATTTACCTTCTGAGGGCCACTTCTTGAGTGACGAGAAGTTCAGTCTGAGGAGCTGTGCAATTGCCAAGGGAAGCGTAGAGGTGGAGAGCGGGCCATCAGACCGAGCAGGCTGGGGGTCAGGATGTCTCTGAAGTCCCATGCTAAGCCAGCCCCCAGGCCTGCATGGCATCCAGCTCTGCATGGCAGACCTTGTAAATATCAGAGTGACCTGTGCCTGCAAGCCTCTGGGTGGGTCTGGGTGGCCACTTCCTGTTACCTGTGCTTATGCCAGCACTCTCCAAGTTTCTCTTCAGATCCTATCTCTGTTTATTGATCATAAAGACAGTGCTCTGCAACCATGAGAGCCCTGTTAAGAGAGTGGGTCACAGTGCCTCCGGGAAACAGATGAACAAACAGGGCATCAGTCCCTGCCCTCAAGGAGTCTCTGTTCTGGTGATGCAAGTGTGAACAGGGAATTCCAGGGTGATGTGCAGAGTGCTAAAGACATGGGCAGCCATCCTATGCTGGCTCCTCTCTGCTTTCCTTCCCTGAAGGCAAAAGAAGACGAGCCTCTCCCAGAGGTTACAGCAGGAGGGATTTAAGTCTGATATGGAAGAACTTCCCAGGGGTCCAAGGATTAGTAGGCAGAAGGCTGAATCTCCAGAATGCCTCAGTCCCACTCCCTTGGCTGAGGGTGGGTGGTCCTTTTTACTGCAGAGACTCGAGAGAGGCAAAGTGCCCTGGGAGAAAAGACTTCTCCAGCAGGCCTCTCTGCTGATAGTCCTGAAGTTGGTGGCCATCTTGCTGGGGTAAGGTTGGGTTGGGAGGCACTGGAGCTGCTGCAGGCAGAGGTGCTGGGGCTGCTCATGTGTTCCTCTCCCCCTCCGCTCTGGCTGCCTCAGAAACAAGGTCCCAGATTCACCCCTACCCCTGCCCCAGTGAGCTAACATCTCCTTGAAATGGACACTGCCTGCTCTGTATCCAGGACAGGGGGAATATAGGGCACCGGTGGAGGTTAACCCTTGTTCAACCACAGAGGAGCCAGGCCAGTCCTCTCCTTCTCTCTGGGGTGCCAAAAAGGGGAATGCCAACCCGAGTGGGCGGGAGAGTTCCCTGGCTGTCTCCCCTGTCGAGGACTGGCCCAGAGTGAGGCCTGTATCCAGATGTATGCTGCCTACTCCCCAGGGCACCAGGCTCTGTTTTCTGCAGGGGGGACCTGGGGACAACCACCTGACATCATGAGAAAAGTACTGTGGAACCCTGGCATCCCAGCCAGGGGTCCCTGGCCTCTGGTCCCCCTGGTACCAGCCGCCACGGAAACAGCTCAGCTTTCCTCAAGCACTCAGCAGCCAGGTTTCCCTGGTCTTGGCTTGGCATAGCCACCTCTTCTTCACTCCAAAAAAGCCCCGCTGAGGCCCTCCATGGGCAGGCTTGGCAGTGCAGCTGGCTGAGGAGGGCACCCGGCATGGCCACCTTCAGAGCTGGTTAACAGGCTTTGCTCAGCCCCTAATTGCTCTGCTGGAGTCTGGAAGCAGGGAGCAGTGGGCAGATAGAAGGTGCCTAGCGAAGGAAAGGGGCACCAGCAATGCTGTGGTGCTGGTGCAGTGCCCTGCCTGCCACCATGCATGTTCCCTTCCAGGTCAGGGGGACAGGGTTGTCCAGGGGATGTGCCTGATCCCCCTTGCCTGGCACAGCCAGCTGGGCACGGCCCTGGTTCTGGAGTCACGAGTTCCTGGTGTTCCCTGGGGTTGGTGCAGGGGGAAGGGTTAGTCTGTGAGGCTCCCGTGGGAGGGGCATATGTAGGCAGGGCTTGGGGAGCAGGATTCTGCCCCTGGCAACCAGAACTCTGGAGTGGGCAGACTGTGGTCCCAGAGAAACATTTTCCTTCTCCCTGGGGTGGTCTCCACCATGGGCTTGTTGCCTGCTTTCCCTGTTCACCCTTCTGACCTAGAGGCAGGTGAGATGGTTTGTGGGGCCTGGGATGTATGGGGAGCACCTGAGACCCCTCCCTTTGCCTACAGTGGGCAGTCCTGGATGTGGAGCATCACCACAGCTGGTAAGCTAGGAAGCTAGGGAGAGGGAGCCACAAACCCCAGAAACCAAAAATCAATGAGTTCTGGGATGAGGATGGGAGGGGCAGCACGGGCAGGAGGGGAGGGTTGATATGGAGGGAGAAGTCCAGGGTGCAGCCCCCACATCACATGGCCTCCATGCAGCTTGAGGACACATTCTGACTCCCTTCCCTTGAGTGAGTTCAGGCAGACCTGCCCCTGTGCCCCATGTTGGTCAGGAGAGGTCAGAAGCAACGATCACACCAGACTCCTGCCTTCCTCCCCAGGGCTGGAGGAAGCACCATGTTTAGTCCATACATTGGGTGTACGCTTTTAATATTTCCCTTAAGAAAAGGCTTCTGCTCTTGCTAAAGGAGTTTGGAAAGTACCCTGCTAGTGCACGTGGGTGTGAGGGGTGTTCCTGTGCAAATATGCTGGCAGCTCAACACACGTTACACAGGAGTGGACTCCTGCAGGGCCGGAAGGCAGCTGGGCACGAGTGTGCTTGTACACTTAAGGGCACATGTGAGTACTATGAACGTACGAGTGTGTATCTGTATGGTACCTATGTGCACTAGCATGTGGTGTGTGTGTGCCTGAGTGGAGGCAGGGAGGCTCTTTGCCCAGGGAGCCCCAGCTCCGAAGCTCCAGAGACCCCAGCTGAGGCCTGCTGGGATGAGGAGTCTCCATTCTCTTGGTAGGGAGGGCTGGGTGTTGAGTTTCATGGGAAACCTTTTCATTCCAGCAATTAAATAGCTGGAGGCCTCTGCTGAGGAGATTAATGAATTCTCCCACCTGGGTCCAGGGCAAGGCGCCACTGGCACTGCAGGCGGCACTCTGGGCTTGTGGGGAGAGCTGCTTTGGGACTTGGCTGATTGTATGGGGTTCTGCATGGGCCCCAGAAAACAGTGGAGCCCTGGGGAATGCTCCCGAGGTGTAGGGATGGGAAGGGGCACCCTGCCTGCAAGGGAGTGCCAGCCTCTCTCTGGAGCCTGGAGCTGGGCACCTGAGGGGGAGGGCAGTGGCAGCATATGGAGCCCTGAGGCCAGGCGGGGCACTGCCAGCTCCCTAGGGCCTTATTAGCCAAAGCTGCTGCAGCATCTGGAGCAGGGCTGGGGAGGCCTGGGTGGCTCAGCACAGTGCCATCAGGAGGCTTCCTTACTTCCCCAGCCAGCTCGGGCCCTGTGGCTGTCTCCCATGCCCACTGCGGGGCTCAGGACCCCACTCAGGTTGCGAGCTCTGGAGTCCACCCCAACCAGGCGAGGCCAAGAGTAAACAATGCACCCCTTTCTCTGGGGCGGGGTGGGGAGCAGGCACAGCTCAGAGACCAACACAGCCAGGCCCACTGGTTTTTTTTGAGGCTCCCAGTATATTGAAAAATGAAGAAATGCCAGCACAGGGCTATACAAATTATATAAATAATCTTAAATTATTTAAAATGTTTCATTTTTGACAAAGGCAGTCATGGTCATGCTTTAAAATATTTAACTGTTGCTAGAGGATGTGTAATGAAAAGCAGCGTTCCTGGCTCCACCTCTCCCACCCCCTCAGAGGCAACTACTTTGAATGCTCTGGACTCTTTCTGTCATTTTACCTCCCCAATTATAAACAATATGCTTCTCTTCTTCTTCTACTGTTTTTTTTTTTTTTTT